CAGGACCTGATCTTCAGGCCCATGGACCACTGCAGCATCCGGTGGCTCCAGAGATATTTGCTAGTGTGCAGCATCTGGATAAGGATCTATGTGCATCCCTTTGGGATGGTTGAAAATACTGACCACTCATACGGGCATCACAGAGTCACCATAAAATAAATCAACAGAGGTTGAGACGTTGAAAAACAGGGTGTGGGTGTGTGTGTGGGGGAGAACAAAGAGGTGAGAGTTTCCTTTAGACCATAGCCCTTAACTTGCTAAGACCACAGAGCCTGATAATCAGTTGTCTAACAACCAGAGCAGCCATTTCCATAAGGTGGGTGTGAAAGCCTATCTTCAAAATCTTTTGCATTAATTTTTGAAAGGTGAAGGATAGACACAGAACAAGGCAATGGATCTAATAAACTAATAAAATTTGTACTTTCACACAAATCTTGTATATACTGAGCTAAGTAATGAAACACTTGTATTCCATCAAGTTTCTAAACTGAAAAGCAGTGACAGCCAACGTGAATTTTCCATCAACATCAAGATTGATTTTCATTTGGATTCCCACCTCTAACTTTAACATTTCAACACAGACATGAAATTCAAGATAAAAGCTAGTGTTATTTTGAGAGCATATATTCACCTTTTCTGAACCCCTTAAATATACTTTTCCAAATGGTGAATTTTACAAGCTCTTATGTGCCAGTAGCAGTAACAAACAGGTTGTTTGCCCAGGGGTTTTGCTGAAACATATTTGGATATACCTGTATATACTTGCAAAATATACAGCCTTTGGAAATGTTCATTTTCCTAAAAGCCATGGGACACCAACAATATGAAAAATATATAAGCTCAGAAGGAACAAATGGGCCAAACTTAAGCAAAAAAAATAGTTTGACAGACCATAGGAATTCCTTGTAAAGCATCTACATCAACTCTGTTTTATTTCTCTTTTGGTCCCTTCGTCCCCATGTTTCTAGCAATTCCCTCTTTTATATGCAAAAGGTTTTCTTCCTGTGAAATGGAGAAGACAGATAATTCTCCTCCTTGTCCCACCAGCTTTTTCCTCACTCCTTTTTTCCACACCAAGTCAGCAAAAACATGGCAGGTCCTCAGTGCTTGTGCCCAAGGCAACGCAATGCTGGCAGACACCAAGCACAGAGAGTGGTGCCTATCACAGCCTTACCCAAAATCCAGGGCTCTGTTGGAAACTGTCTGCTGTGAGATTCTCCTCCAACTCAGGTTTTGTATTGGCAACACTGAAACTCTCATCTTTCCTAGTGGAAAGGTCCTAAAGTGAACTCTTCCATTCTCATTCACTGCTTTTAATAATGGTTTTGTCCAGATCAACCTTCCCAGAAGAGGCAACCAACAAGGGAAAGTTTCCTGACAGCTTGTTTCCCAAAATTTCTCCTTTTGCAACATCAACTGGCTTCAATTGGCTAGGCTAGAATATAGGTGTGGGGTTTTTTTTGTGTTGTTTTTGTGTTTCTTTAAATAATGATTTACTCTTGGGAATGGCAAAGTACTTTCTGTTTGGAACTCTGTTTTTATGAGCTCGAATGGATTTTCTTGGTTGTTAACCGTCCAACCAATGTAATGTGATTCAGAGTCACTGGGCAGAGAAAAAGAGTGGAGTGGTGGTACACAGATCACCTCCCCCTGCCCTCTGCTGTAGAACTACTCCAAACATTTTCATTTTCGATGCTGATGTGACACCAAGTCAGCCTTACCTGGCTGCTACAAGACCACTCACACACAAACGCTTGCTAATTGCTACCCAAAACATGGTCCTGTTTTGCTGCTGGTGAAAGATGCATCATCCCTATGAGGATTCACATTGTCTCCTAGAAGTTGTATGCAGAATGCATAAATTACCAGTGTTAAACTAGCACGTTGCCTACAGTCTGCCCTAGCTAGGCAAAGTGAAAAACCTAAAATATTTTCCACGAGATGCGCTGGTGATTTTTGACTTGTCGTTGTGTTTTTTTTGGCACATTATTGCTTGGCTTCAAAGGCATGCCTGCAGGACTTATCTGTGCCCACCCAGCAGCATCACTGACATTTTGCAGTTTGTCTTTGCACTCGTATTTCCCTGGAATACGAAAGCACAGTGCTCTGCTGACCACTAAGGTTTTTCCAGTTATGCTCATGCAGTGGTGTTCAGAAGCATCCACTTAGTAACCTGCCTGTTGGCATTTTGTGGTATGTATGTATTGGTGAAATACTCCTGGAAGAAAGGTCGTTTGGGCTGGGAAGTGTGGGTGGACTGGCTGGTGAAGACTCACAGCTGGAAGCAGCTGTTGGGAACCAGGAGAGATCTCAGATTCCTTATGAAGAAGAGTTAATTCCAGTGCCAGTCCAGCACCCTGCTCATTCATTGCTAAACGCAGTTTGGTCTCAATAAGGCAACTCAGACACATACACTAGAAATATTTTGGAGAGCTAAAGGATAAAGTTCATGGAAATCAGTGAATGCGTGGTAGCCATTTATTCTCCTTGGGGAAAAAAGTATGACAAGGCATTTATATATTCAGACTGAGCATATCTGTACAGGGACAGTTCAAAGTAAGCTGGCTCACAACACTACAGTGAAGGAGACAGCAGAGAGGGGGACACAAGCTGAGCCAAGGGACACTGTTTTGCAGGAAGACGAGCTGGGCAGCAGCTAGTGAGGGAAGGGGCAGAAGGGAGGTGAAAGGAGCATTGCAAAGCCTTGGACCTGGACAGGACACAGCAAACACCACACGGACAGCTTGGGGAACCTCTTCAGGGCTGACATGGACACGACACAGGAAGATACACCAAACTTTTCAACTAACCTGACCTAATGATACTGCCAATAGTAATCTCACACAAAATTTCACATGGAACTCACATCTCAGACACTGCTAGGAAGGGGATGGAAACATTAATACTAACAAAAGGTGGGAGACCTTCCTCCTGGTAGGCAGAAGTGGGAAGACACTATCTAATGTGGTATTTCAGAATTAGAAATTCATCATCAAGTGGGAGAGGACCTGAAATAATGTACAGAAATGGAACAAGGATGTGCCACAAAGCCCCCAAATATATACCAGAGAAAAACTAGATATCAATTCAGTACTACTCTTAGAGGCAACACCTTTCATAGAACTGGGTTAAAATATTATATCTTATAGTATTTTACCTCTCTGACGGGGAAAAAATTGCCCCAAAACATCTGCTTTGAAGACTTGGCAGTCGATACAGTCAAAAAGTCTGGCCTCCTAAAAACAAGGGGACCATCTCAGGTCTGCTTCACAGAAAAAAAAATAAAATTAATACTCATTTATACTGTGTAAACTTGTAAGACTTACAGAGTAAGTGGTAAGAGTAAGATCTATAGAGTAAGTCAGGTGTGTGGTACTAGAGACAGAAATGAATCATCATCATGATCCATGAAAAATCTTTAATGGAATAAAAATAAACCCTATTTAACTCTAGCACTCTGCAGGATTACAACACTCAAATCCTTAGTGCTTTGCAGGATTGGAAACTAAATATTCTACAAACTGCAGGAGTTCCCCAGCCTCCCATTGTGAACTCTAGTGGACAGAATAAAAAGAAAGTGGGAAATGCATTTCCCAGGCTGAAAAATATTATTAAGGTGAGAAATGTGACCAACATACACTTAAGACATTATTATATATCACAATTCTGAAGAAACAGTCACTAAGCTACCTTTTATTAGCAGTTTCTACAACTTTTCTAACATTACAAATACAGCAAAGATTGTCTCAAGATTTCAGTACTTCTGTAAAGCAAATATTTCAAGTTAACAATACGATGGTTTATAATATAGAGAGCATTTGGTGGAACAAAATACGTACAGGCTAAATAAATGGTATTTGGTTTATGAAAGGCAGCAAGAAAAGCACCAAAATACTGCAAAAAAAAGAAGAGTAGAGTTGGGTAAGGACTTGGAAGGAAAACAAAAATCAGTGTAACACACTAGACACGTAGGCTCATGGATGCAGACACACAGGATAGCCTGCTCCTACGGGAAAACGTTACTGTGCATCTCTGGAAAGAGAAAAAAGATCTACATCACTTTAAAGAGTGATTTCAAGGCTCGGTGCCACAGAGGCTGGGAGCAGGGGCTGCCCACCCTGGCAGCGGAGCCGGAGGGGCTCGCTGCTGGTGAAAGGCTTGGCTGGAGAGCCAGAGTGTGAGTGAGGGCAGCGACCTGCCACGTGCAGGTCCATCTGCTGGCGTCCTCTCCTGCCTCGCCTGCCCCGTGTGCATCGCCTGCTTATGCCTCCAGCGTGGCTGATGCAGGGGAGAAAAAGCCCACAGAGTATAGCCCTCTCTCCCCTCCCCTTCTAGCCATCAAAATCCCATTGACTTCACTTCTCCCACAGAGATCACCTCCTTCAGCCTTGATCTTTACTCTTTGTCTGGTTCTCCATTGCGATGCGAGGGGAAGACCTGGCTCTGTGGGGCTCACAGAACAGTACCCCGCAGCACCAACAGAAGTGAAACTGCTCACTGATCAACATCTGGAGCCTTTTCACAGACTTGCGTCAGCGTGGGTAACTTACACACCAGGGAAGTTGTCTTGCACTAGGTCTTCACAGCTGTTGAACCTTTGTTTTGCCTCACTCAGCTTCCCCCACTCCGCCTCTTTGTGTAAGACCTCCTGATGCACACAAATAACTTCCCATAATAATTCTGACAACCTTCCTGCTTCTTGCTTTATCAGAAGCTGCTGCTCTCCCTGCAGCAAGGTGGCAATTTAAATTTGTGCTTTTGCTAAGTGCCTAGCTTTTCATCTGACGGTCGTCAGGCTGGGAGCATAATGTGGAAATACACCAGTTGTGGCAATAATAACGGTGCGATGGAGCACGTGGCTACTCAGAAAACAAAGGGGAACAATTTTCCACTGTTGCTGCATCACAACCCCAGTAACACAACTGAACAGCAGGACTCGAGACTTGAGGGGAGGGATTCTCTCTACCACTGTAGACATCTACACACCCCTGCACACCATGTCAGTCTAACACAGAAGAGGGAGCGGGTCGGACACAGCAATTAGGACGCCTAAAATTCTGCAGCATGGACTGGAACACGTTGTGCTGCCTCCCTTTCAGTTTTTTATTTGAGGATGTATCCGAGGAAATGGATTTCCGGGTCTGACTGTTCTGGGCCCGGATCAGTTTCTTGTGTTCCCGTATTTGTCTCTGTAAGTGGTTCTGGATGGCAATTCCCAGGGATTCTGGATCGAGGGAAGCACCGTAAACCTCCCATGTCATGCCCTGCTCGTCCCAAACCACATCCCTGATGTGCTTGGACTGCTTCACCTGCACTTTTGCCTCCATGGCCGGGATGGGTTGCTTCTTGTTTTCCCCCAGGTTTGGCAAGGCCTGAGCAGAAGCAGGAAGAGCTGCTGTGTGAAGCTCACATCTGGATTCCTTGGCCTGGAGGCCTTGCTGCTGGGGACCTGCTGATGCCTCCAAGGGAGGGGCGAGACGTGGAGAACTTGCACCTAACTGGGGCGTCAGTCCTGCCTGCAGGCTCTGGCCACCAGCCACCTGGGCCTGGCCAGTGTCTCCCTGGTCTCTGCTCTCCTCCTTCTCACGTGCATCCTCTGAGCAAGCCTTTATGTGGACAATGGCAGGCTGGCTGCTAACATTTATCCCTCCTTCAGGATCAAGCACCACTGAGTTTTCTTCCTTTGGTTTCACCACAGACTGATTAGGAATGGCCTCCCCTTGACTGGCACCCTTACTTTGCAGAGGCTTTTGCTCAGAGCTGCCCAGGACCTCCTTCTGCTTGACTTCATTGTCTGTGCTACAGAGTAAAGGTAACTGGCTGCCTCCTGCATCATGGACAAGATCTTGCACTTTGTTCTCCTGGGTTCCTGGGTCAGCAGCAGCAGCAGAAGTGGTGCTTGGTTCACCAGTGCCAGACATGGACTGTGCTGGAGTTTTATTACTGTAGTCAACTGCAAGTTGCCCAACAGGGATGGGTTTTGGTGGGACTGGGGCATCCACTGGCAGCCCAGCAGCATACCTGCTGTCACAGGCTGCACCCACTGTTTCAGCATTACCCACAGAGGTCCCTTGAGAGGTAACGGCTGCAGGGGAGAAGGGTAGAACAGGTTTTGCATTATCTGCTGGTGCTGGAGACACCACACCAGACGGGACCCCAGGCAGTTTGACAGGCTGGGTTTGGGCTGAAGCAGTCACAGCCATAAAAACAGTCGATTTCAACGTGGTATCAGGAGAACCTGGGGACTTTTGTTGTGAGGATAAACTTTCACTAAGTGCAGACTGGCTCAGCCCCACGCCTCCTTGGTAAATAATGTGCAGTTCTTCCTTCTCCTCTGGAGGAGGATTCCCTTTTAAGAAGGCAGCAAGGATGCTGGGACTAGTGGAGGCCGATTTGCTCTCAACGGTAGCCACGGCCTGAACCTCAGCATCTCGCCATGTCCTGCTTACTGCTTCCTGAGTTAAAGAGCTGCTCTCTGGCTGAACTGTCATTGTACCCGTTTCTCTGAATTTGGAGAGCTGGGTGGGGCCTGGGGTCCCCAGCTCGGCACCCACGTTGTGTACGGAACGTGGAGTCTCGTGGCTAGACTGGGCTGGTGCCTCGCTGCTCTGCACCGCTTCAGCTTCACCCATGGGATGCGACTGCAGGGTGTCCACAGCCCCGCTTTTTGCCCCCAAATTGGTCAGTGGGTCTCTGCCCAGGTCACCTTTGGTATGCCGTGCTGGCGAGGCTGGCTGACACGCAGCAGAACCAGGCTTTTCTGCTCCCCTGTCTTTTTCCCCTTTTTGCAGAAGGTTTGCCTGAGAAGTAGGACAAGATTCGTTACCCCGGATAGGGTCGCTTGGGGAAGAATAATTTATCACCTCAAGTGTTGGCTGATCATCAGTCCCCTGAGGTTTCAAGGCAGAGTCATCCATTTGTGTCAGGGGGCTCATTTTCGCCTGGCTGCCTTGCACAAACTGCCGGGAGCTCTGGGGGGCTGGCATCATCTCTGGCCCCCACGCCACCAAAGGGGCTCCTCCTCCAGTGGGGGGTGGTGCTGCTGGTCCCTGGCTGCCTGCTGGCCAGGAGCAACCAGCAGGCTCTACGGCTGAAGGACACTCCTCTGAAGCTCTGCCGGTGAGCCCCGGAGGAACGGCTTCCTGCTGGCTAGCATTGTCTTTGTGGCATGGCTCACTCTTCTGTGTGCTGGCAGCCCCTGAGCAGTTCAGGTCAAACAAGCAGACTCCAGCAGAGCTGGATGGTGTGCATGGAAAGCCATTGCTGGGCCTCTCTCCACTGGGTAGTTGGGGCTGGTGATTAGCAGACTGTGGATCTCCCAGGTGATCCTCCTCCGCAGGAGCTGTGACCAGGGAAAGCTTGGCAGATCTCAGAGGATCTGGTACAGTCCCCATGGACTGTCTCCAAGATGTTCGTGCTCAGCTTCTCCTCTGAGCTTTTTCACTGGGCAGTGGACACAACAGGATAGGCTGTTGGCAACAGGCTTCCAGTAAAGCTATTCTGTCAATGAAAGAAACATAGTGTTAGCAGCAGTCAGATTTAAGAAGAAAAAGTACCCAAACCAGACTGACTTTACAGCATGGAGAGAAATACTTGCACGCAATGGGAAAGTGAAGCACCAGATTCTGCCTAAATGTCACATAAAAGATACAGATCTCAAGGATCTCCCAATTCCAAGGTGCAGATGGAAAAGACCTCACCAGGGACAAAGCAATGACAGCTTCATTCTTATAGGTACATTAATGAAAACATAATGGCATGCCAAGAGGGAGGGGAAAAAAAAAAACCCAAACCCAAAGTGAAAGTAAGGATGAATGCAAAGGGGAACAGGCTTTGTGTGGAATTTTGAAGTCACAAAATAAACTCACTGTGACAAAATCCTCTAGAAAGCTACCTATGGAAAGGTGTAACCTTGCCTATTGTGCCTCTGTGAAGAACAGACCTGATTCCCACCCTGTGACCTAAGTGGATCCCACACCTTCGCTGAGCACCCGTTCCCCCTTCTCATGCAGACTCCCTCCCTAACCTCACCACCAACAAGGATGTGCTCACAGGGGGCAACAGGTCAATTCAGACACACTGTGGCTGTGCACGTACTTACTGCTTTCATATCTAGAAATAATGACAATGAAGATTTGAAATGAAGAAATGGGGGCACAGCTGATCTAGAAATCAATTTACAAGCAGGGGAACACTACAGCACCACAGAACAGGAGGGGCCCATGCCATACCCAGTGAAATAATGGAGAGGGATTCTAGGCAGGTGGAGTGGACTTATACAGGTTGAAATCTGGCCAGGAGTGCAGAGAAACCATTGCTTCAAACAGGAGGTGATCTCCAAATGTGCTTGTTGGCTGGGCTTTCAGAACGACTTGGCACTGCTGAACTCAGCCCCTGCTAGAGGGCAAGGGCCGAATTGTCATCAGTGTCAGCAGAGTGGTGGTGTCCAGTGATAAAATCCCACCACAGTCCTCTTCTAAATTGTAGGCTACCCAGTTTAAAAGGTTTTTCCCAACTTATGCTGCCAGCAAAGCACAGGTATGAGACTTGGGACATACCTTGAACAGTTAGTTTTATGTCAACCAGAGGAACAATGCTAGGAAAATTCCTGTACTTCTCTGTGTCTGTGTCTCTTCAGGCACACGGTGGGGTCTCCTTTGCCACACTACTTAGGACATGCTATTGGAAGGAGCTGTGCAATCACTGAGCTCTTTCAGACCCTCCACAGCCACTAGACAAATCAGCAAAAGTCTTTCCCAGAAAATCTTCCTACTCTCCTCTCTCTCAGCCTGAATGGCAGTGGTGCAACTTCCTTAGTTGTAAAATTACTCCTAAATTCTAGCACCTTAGGGTACTCAGAAAGAGCAACAGGAGAAAAATACTCAATGAAGGGAAAATGAAACCAAATGTAACCAGTTCATTTTTCCAAGAAAAGGAAAATGATGCAACTTATTAATTATTCATTAATATCTGGAAGACATAAAACTTAATAATTATTTTTATACTGCCTGTTTGGGTTCTATCCAACCACAGACAGTCTGCTGGGTTAAGCCAGCCCTGGGAAACTGTGATCCTGCCCCTGAAGGATCCTGAGTTTCTCAGCTGTGGTTACAGTGATAGCAGCCCCACATCACTCCAAAATGTCTTTCCAGCACGCCTAATGCTTGCTAAGCTTTTTGAGAAGCACTGAGTTTATATATACCAGGCTGTAAACCAGTGGTTATGTCCATCTACAAGATGCCTTCACTTAATTCTGTGCTCACTTTAAAGCCAGCCAACGTAGTCCTGAAGGAAAGGAGAGCCATTCCAAGTCTACGCTGTTGTACCATGAACGTCTAATGACCCTGAGGAGAACAGCAGATGGCTTTGGACCTCTGTCTAAATTCCATTACTCTCTTTCCTTTATCCAAATATCCATGCAAACCAAGCCAGCATGTACAACTGGGCAGGTCACATTTTTGGTTTCATACCCAGAGATCATTTAAGAACAACTAAACAAACAATGAGGCAAAACCAGCCTCTGTTTCTAGGATGAGACATACTACATGGCC